ATGTGATCCTAAGGTCACCAAAAATGATCCCTTCAGCATCTTGGCTGCTCCTTGAAGTTCTGTCCATAAAAGTTATGAACAGAATCGGTGACAAAGGACAACCTTGGTGGAGTCCAACTCTCACCGGAAACGAGTCCAACTTACTACCATCAATGTGGACCAAGCTCTGGTACCGGTCCTACAGGGACCTAACAGCCTGTATCAATGGGCCTGGTACCCCATACTCCCACAGTACCCCCCACAGGAGTGCCTGAGGGACATGGTCGAACACCTTCACCAAGTCCACAAAACCCATGTAGACTGGTTGAACTCCCATGAACCCTCCAGGACCCTGCTGGGTGTAGAGCTGGTCCAGTGTTCCATGACCAAGACCAAAACCACACTGCTCTTCCTGAATCTGAGATTTGCCTATCCGACGGACCCTCCTCTCCAGGACCCCTGAATAGACCTTACCAGGAAAGTTCAACACATCCAGAGCCTTAAGGAACTCCGGGTGAATCTCATCCATCCCCGGCACCCTGCCACCGAGGAGCTTTTTACCCACCTCAGTGACCTCAGCACCAGAGACTGGAGAGTCCAACCCAGAGTCCTCAGGCTCTGCTTCCTCATGGGAAGACGTGTCGGTAGGATTTAGGAGGTCAACGTAAGAGCTTCAGATATTTTGGGGTTGTTTAGCTCTGATGAGGGACTTTCCATCAGGCCCACCAATGACCCCCCCCCATCTGAAAAGTGGGTGTCTGGATATTAAAAAATGCTTATAATTTAAAAACTATTCAACATGGGAGCTTTACATTTTCTGAGTTCAGGTGCATTGGTGCGTGCAGGATCATTATGTTACTGATATATCTAGTGTCTCTAATCTATAAAAACACCAGGAGTTCTACAGAAACCAGGATTTCAGCTGCAACAAGCTGAACCCCACAGATCAGATGGTTTAAGAGTCTTACTTTCAAAATCCAGGAAGAAGTTTCCAGCGTTGTTGTCGATGTCTCTGGTCAAAACTTTGATCAAGTTCCCCATTCTGCAAGACAGGAAGGACAGCTGGGTCAGCAGGGAGACAGCAAAGAGAAAGCAGGGACAGAATCCCTACAAGACCGAGTCCAAACAGATTGAGTCTAAACAGAGTCCCAACACGACCAAGTCCCAATGAGACAGAGTCTCAACACGACCAAGTCCCAATGAGACAGAGTTCCAACACGACCAAGTCCCAACACAACCAAGTCCCAATGAGACAGAGTCCCAACACGACCAAGTCCCAATGAGACAGAGTCCCAACACGACCAAGTCCCAACACGACCAAGTCCCAATGAGACAGAGTCCCAACACGACCAAGTCCCAATGAGACAGAGTCCCAACACGACCAAGTCCCAATGAGACAGAGTCCAAACACGACCAAGTCCCAATGAGACAGAGTCCAAACACGACCAAGTCCCAATGAGACAGAGTCCAAACATATGTACACGTTTTGTATGACACGTACAATACAACAACTGTTATGAAACAACAACAACCTTTAGGAAACAACAATAACAACAGTCAGGAAACAACAACAACAGTTAGAAAAAAACAACAACAACTGTAAGGAAATGTTAGGAAACAACAATTGACAACAACAACAACAGTTAGGAAACAACAACAACTGACAACAACAACAACAGTTAGGAAACAACAACAACTGACAACAACAACAACAACAACAGTTAGGAAAAAACAGGTAAAACCACAGGTCCCGGGTC